GGATGTCGCAGTACACTAGAATTGAATTAATTGACGATAGAATAACTAAATCCTGCATTGATCATGTGTACGCGAGATCACGCAAACAAGATGTTTACACCGCAGCACTTGGTATAATGCTAGCGGATCACCGAGCGGTAGTGCTTGCCTGTGTGGAACAAACACATGCGCGTATACAGAATGAAACTACTTATAAAAATATATATAACAATGAAAAATTAAAACGTTCATTGAATAATATCAACTGAAAAAAAGTTGATGATATGGTCTGTCCAGATACTATATTACAGTATATGTAAAAATTAAATAAATACTACAACAACGCGAAAATTACATCAAAAATTAAAAATACCAGTAACAAACATACCGAAAATAAATGGATAACTTCACGTATTATCAAAGCCTGCGAGTATAGAGATAAACTATTTTACCAATGGATAAAAGATAATAATAATAAAATTTTAAAAACACAGTATAATAAAGCGCGGAACTATACAAATAAATTAATTAAATCCTGCAAACACAAATACATTTGTAATGAAATACGTAAATATAAAGATAATTTAAAACACTCTGGTTTATTCTTAACAGGATAACAGGTAGGATGTGTAAAAGAGTGGATACATACAGTACTCTTAAATGCCTTTGGAGGTACAAACAAAAATAAAAATATAATTGCAAATAATTTTGCGAATAAATTTCATATTGGCGTTCAAAACATACCTCTATAAAAATAATATTTTCTATATTCTATATATAATAAATATATAACATTCTTAATGACACACAGTTTGGGTTTCAACTTAAAAAAAGCACAACGCAACTGCTTTCACTATTTACTAATAACGTATATGAAAATCTTAATGAGAGAAAACATGTATTGCTGTTATTTATCGACTATAGCAGGGCGTTCGATACTTTACGTCATGATGTACTGCTAGAGCGACTAGATGACTGTGGAACTAGAGGGCCTATTCTTGACTGGTGTCAGGACTATCTCAAAAATCCTTGTTACTATGTCAAGGTAGGGGATGTCTTAAGTAATAAAGTTTTGGTAAGTGAAGGAACAGCACAGGGTTCTGTATTAGCACCGCTAGACTACATCACATAAGTGATGAATAATATCAACAAAGTCGTAGTAATATCTGTAAAATCTTCCAATTTGCCGACGATACCTGTTTGGTAGCAGCGCACCACAATATGGATAAGGCGGTAAAACTGTTACAAGAGGATTTTACGAGGCTCATGCAGTGGTCACATGACGAAGGTCTTGTACTTAATTCGAATAAAACTTAAATAATGTACGTTAGCTGGAGTCAAAATAGATTAAATTAATCTTCATAATAACCAAAGTTCAACCAAAAATAACAACTGTGAATGTCCCCAGATTGAAGTGGTAGAAAAATATAGGTATTTAGGTTTAACAATCGATGACCGTATGAAATGGACTTATCCCATTAAATCTGTATGTGATAAGCTACGAGCAATTTTTAATTTTTTTTTAAATTTTACCTCATCAAGAGTAAAGTAACTTACCACATGCTAATGTTACTTTATAAAGTACTCGGCAAATCAATAGTTCCGTATGGGTTAGCAGTTATGGACGCACGTATAAAACCCACCTTGAAAAAATATATGAGCTACAATTGCGCATTCTTAAATGTATCACCCCTCTCAAAATCAAATCCTTATGGTTCATTTTCATCATTCCAATATACTAGTGTACTGGTACACGACAAAGTGAAACACCAACTACTGCTTGAAAATTATAGCAATGAAGAATTAAAAATTAGCCGTATCTATACAAAGCTTACACGACAAGCCCCTGATCCATATATGACTATACCAAAATATAAAAATATGTTTGGAAAATTTAGGTTATAATATCAAGTTCCCGTTATTTTGAACCAAATTCCAAAAGCAATGAAAAATTAACTATAAAAAATATTAAACATAAGCTTAAACAGTATTTTATAGAAAAATTGATAACGACACCTACAATAATTTATACAAAAAAAAACTATATCTACTAACACACATAATATACATAAATACAAATCTACTAATAAATGTATCATACTCACTAACTATCCTTTGCTGTGGTACACATATAGTTAAAAAAATGCTATTTTATCACACCATGTATGTAAATCATTATGTAAGTTGTGGCTACGCGAACCGATTGAACATAGTCGAAGTTACGAATCGGCGATATATGGAAGAACTTTTGTAAGTTTATTTGTACTGTCAGATGTTATTTAATAAGTATATTTTGTAAAAAATAAATAAATAAACCTATCCCAACCTGATAAATTGTCTCACTTATAAAGGGAATTGAGCTCTAGAGTCCTAATTATAGAGGTAAACATTGAAAAAGTCCTAGAAATAAATTCTCATTTAACCAGGTTCGAAAAGTCCCATTAACAGAGGTAATTCGATACAAAAGTGCCGGGACCTCATTGTAGTTATCAGTAATAGAGGTTTCTAAGTTATCCAGGTCCCACTTAACCAGGTTTCACTGTATTTATAAATTATTAATACATGTGGCCTTTTTAAATTTAACATAATCAAGGACCATTTCTTTTCATTTTTTTTTCGTTTTTGACACACAGACAGACAAAATTTTTATTAATGGTAAATTTCTTCTCTCTTAATAGCATCCAAATAACCGCCTGTAATCCAGTCACTGCATAAAAATGGAGTCAAACTCGGAATGAGAGATAATAAGTTGAATTTTCGTATGTACCTTCATTTTGGCATTCTAGTAAAGTTGTCTCACAAGTCTCATAAAATCTCGTGTCTGCGTCGTTAGTTATTCAAGGTCAAAGGTATAATTAAATACTACCTTGATGCCAATGCCTGACCAAAATGAATTCCTGGAGCCAATGGCAACAATATTACCACCAGCTCCCGATGAATTACTTAATACTCTTTTTTGAAATTGTAAGAACGGATGTGTTCCACGGTGCGGATGTAGAAAATCGGGTTCCAATGCGCTTTAGCTTATATCCAGTGTAATTGGCAAACTTGCCTCAATGCTTTTTCATTGCAAAGTGACTGTGTGGAAGTGTGTATTTGACCCTGAAATTCTGGAAGGTTTGAAAACAATAATCCTATGGCTATGGTATGGCTGAGGGAGGCGCGCTTACCACCCTCTATCGTAAAAACGGTTGAGCGCATGAAAAAATGTTTCAAATAAAATATGTCGTAAATTTTATATTCTACAATTTTCATAATAGATGTTAACATCATTGGAGCAATAGGAAACGAGATAATCGAAAAACAATTTTTTTAACCTTTGACCGTGAATTACACGACGCAGGCACCAGATTTTATGAGAATTTCGAGAACAACTTTTAGAACGCCAAAATGAAGGTATATACGAAAACTCAGCTTATTATCTCATTCCATTAAGCTTGCTATATAGTCCAGTTATTTCAATAATATACACAGACACTTCCAATTTTATTAATATGTATAGCTTTACAAATAACATTAGTATAACTTATGATAATGTTATAATTGGTATTCCATTAGAGACCCATTACCTCATTCGTATCATCATAATCCCATCTTAGTCGGTCTATAAAAATTCACTATTGAATGTAGGCTTCTCGCATAGATTAGTTCGTAGTGAGGATATTTATCATAATTACCACGCTTGGCTTGGATTAGCTTCTTTGAGTTGGCAACCACAGTTTTTCTTATTATTTTGAGCTGAATCGTTCAGCAAAGTCATTCTGATTCTGTTGCAAGATCTTCTTTAAGTTACTCTCTGTCGCCTCTTACGAAGCCCACGGTTGATTACTATGAGATTGACGCGATTTGTATCGTGACGTTTTAATATATTATGACTTGATTATATGATATTTTAAGATGGTATGGCTTTATGTGTTACGACGTAATTGCCTATAAGTACCAAAAAACTAACTATTAAAATTTATATAAAATTTATATACTAGTTGGTACTCGGCGTATTGTTGCTGCAGAATAAATAATTATAGAAATATCGTTTAAAATTTGAAAGAGTTATATTGTTTAATCAGGAACAATAATACATTCATTGAAATTGAATGATATAACTTTGAAATAACTTTGTCGGTACGACACGCGCGCCGCCTACCGTAAGTTAATTGTACTATGCCTATAACCTTCGCACAAGTGTAAGCAATAACTTGACCAAGTTTTAACACAATCTAATGAACGGTATTACTGCGCATAAAATCATCATCGTCGTCAGCCTGCGGCAGTCCACTGCTGCACATAGGCCTCTCCCAAGGCGCGCCACTTAGCCCGATCTTCGGCTACACGCATCCAGTTTCTACAAGCCACCTAGCGCAGATCGTCGCTCCATCTGGTCATAAAATACGAACAAACAAACATTAATTTTTATATATAAGAATAAAATATAACCGTGATAGCTAAGGATAGCTTAAGGAGCTGCTTGCTCCTTTTAAATTTCTTAGTACTCGAGATACTTGAAATCGATCCCCGCCAACATGATGTATTATAATTAGCAAGTTAGATCGTAATTTTAATTAGCTCATTTAACATGTGCTCATCCTGAATGGAAACAAGAAGTGGAAATGTCTGAGAAATTAATAAAAAAATGTTTCGAATACAATGTTTAAAAAGTTATAATTACTATCAATGTTCAAATTTAATATTTACGTTACTGTTACAGCCTATTAAATTCCACTGCTGAACGTAGGTCTCCTCAGGTTGCCTCATAGGGGGATAGTTTCCGTAGTTGTCATGCTTGGCATGATGGTTGGCAACTTTTAATTTTTAGTCGTTATTAGGAAGACGCTGCTCCCTTCTCTTGATCTGTTTCGCTTTGTCGCGTCTTACGCCCCACGATATGATATGGGGTAGTGGATTTTCTTACACCGCCACTACACAGTACATTTACATATTATATATTAATTGGTTTGTTTTTTTCTTTATCTCGTTTTATAAAATGTGCAGGCAACTAATTCATTTTCAACCTTTTTCAACAGGTTATCTACTAACAAAAGTAGAGGGCAAAGTTGGGTCCCCTGAGACACCCCTATCAGATCTAGGTCTAATATCATATCGCTCGTATTGGAAGGAAGCTTTGTTAAAAAGGCTGTGCTCGGCCACTGGACCTACACTTTGTATCAGAGATCTCAGCAAGGACTTGGCGATAGCGTCGTCAGACATCGTGTCTACACTGCAGGAGCGAGGGCTGATGAAATATTGGAAAGGAAAACATATAGTTTTGAAAAAACAGGTTAGTTATAATTACATAATTATTGGTTTTTCTTTTTTTCTGTAAATAAAAGTATCTTAAAATTTCTATAATACATATACCGAATTTTTTAAAAGCTATAGAAATATGTATGAAAATCTGTTTTAAATGCCATACATAGAATGAAATAGTAAAAGCTCGATTATATAACTTGATAATTTATAATTATTCGTTATTTATTAAATAACTTGAACAATTAACGTAACGTGACAACAGTTTTAACAGTTATAATTTTGTCGCAAATATTTTGATAACTTAATTTTATCTGTTGAACATACTTTGTAGTGATTCACTGATGCTTAGGACAAATATTCTATCTTTCTTTAAACTGTCGGATATAGTTTCTCTTTAAAACAAAACTTTTCATTATTCACGTTTATCGCCATTACATTTTTGTTATGTTTTTTTCTTCTATATTTGGTAATGAAGGTGATAACGAATATGTCATGACTTCAGCCGGATTAATGATTGGAAATCGAATTTGGAAAACGAATTCAAATCGAAATTGAAAGACGAATTTGAAAATCGTCTGAACGAAGTTAATTAAAGTTGGGTATTATGATTTTTGGGAGAATAATTTCCAAATTCTTCTACTTCATCAGTCGTAATGTCCGCAGCTGGGTATGAGTCCTTTTTAGGTCTCCAGATACTAGATGAACCTATTTCCAATACTCTTACAACTTGCTTTTTTATCCAATATCCATCAAACGGTGACAACCGTGACTGTCACCGTTAGATAGATACTAGTAAAGCTGCAAAAGCCGGAGTCTCCATGCCATTTGAACGGCGTAAGAAAAAATAAATGCAAAATCATCAGTTCGCCCATTTTAATTGTCTTTGCCACGAATTTTTTAATAGTTGGAAGTTTTAGAGTACGGAGTCTCTCTGATGGTAAGTGGTCTGTTATCATTTCCGCTGTACTTTGATCTCTAACTTTGTTTTACAAATTAGATCGGGGTTATAAATGCCAGTATTTATACTTAAAACCAGTAGTAGTAGCAGACGTAGATTAAATACCAATGTGGTGGAAGGACCCAGATCGATTAATTTGTGTCAAGGTAAGTCAGTAAAGTTTTTACCTGGCGGTAAGACTATACCCCTCCTTATCGTCGAGTAAAAACTTTACTAAATATCGATAACTTCGCTGCCGTTGAAGATGTACGTAGTCGTGTCTACCGGTATTGCTTGTGAAGGAGTTGAGGGTTTTTATACAGGAGGTGCTGGAGGAGGTGACTCGTCGAGCGGAACGCGCTCGGTGCGTGGACGCGGCGTGCCTGCGCTGGTGGGCGGGCGCTACGCCGCGCTGACGTCGCGCCCCGGCGCGGGGGACGCGCGCGCGGGGGCCGGGGGGCGTTCTTACCCCTCGTGCACGGAGGTCTCCCGAGGAGCCGGGAGGTGTTGCGGGTCCACAGGGTGTCGTTGGCGAGCCGATGGGTGGGCACGTGCGACGCGCCCGCTCCACGCGTCTGCGCCGGCCGCGCCGGCCCGCCAGCAGCGCGGCGCGCGCGCTGCTCTAGCACACCTCGCCGTCTGCGCCCCCCTCCCCGCGATCCGCGCCACCCTCGTGGCAGTATCCGGTGTCGCACCGCGGCCGCCTCTGCGCCACGGTGCAGCTCCCGCAATCCCCCGCTCACGTGCACGAGTACGACACTGCTTGAGCGGTACGCAAAGACAAGTACGTCCCTGGATCTACATCAATATTATCTTGAAAAATACAAGACTCACATAAAACCTTATGCTGTGCAACTTTGTATGTATGTTTGTAGTACAGTTTGTGTTATACGGGAGCGAAGTTTTTACTGTAGCAAATTGTATGTTATCCGACATAATGTCGTATAAGTTCGAAGAGAGAAAAGAGATCCGACGTATCGAAAAAAGATTTAACATTAAAATTTTGAAATAATTATTTAATACCTACGAAGTAAGAACTATATGGTATTTTGTTTTATTGGATCTTATAGACCTCTGGTGTTAAAACGCTACTTAAATTTTCCAGCACATTTAAGCTCTACGTCGGTTCTCTTTTACACACATGATAAAAGGTAATTTATCTAATAAAATGAATTACCTGTTAATTTAATTTTGTAAATATTTTATATAACTTTTGTACCTAGCAAAATTTACAATAATTCTAAGGCGTAAAATCGTTTATTTATATACAAATTCATGTTTTTTATTAATTTCCGACTGTAAATAAATATGTACATAGTGAATTTTAATATTTTGTCCCGCAATTTTATTACTTTCGATGACAAATGTATTGTAAAAAAATTTGTAAAATAACATCCCTGTTTTTTCTAACTATGTGGTTTTTAAAACACTGTAAATTACACAAAATTGTACATAGATGGAATTCGCGTTTTATGTGATCAATATGAAATTAATTGAATTTGTTATATAGTTTATCATAAACTGTATGTAATATAAAGGAGCTAAAAAGATTCAGTCAATAATGATTAGCAAATTGCAATAATATAAAATAAGATAGTGTACTTAAATTTAACTAAATCAATTTAAACACCAAATCGATTTATTGCAGGTAAAAATTTTATGTTGGAATATGACACTTTATGCTAACTCATTCAAATCCGATAAAGCTTGATTTTTGTTTGGCTCGTGGAGCATTTATCGTAAAAATCCATAAAAATACTAAGTACACAAATATTATGCTGTTTTTATATCAGAAACGTATTCATAGATAATTTTTTTTCCAGGTTATCAATATGCGCTTTTCATAATGATTTCTTATATTTACGCGAACACTATGCATGATTAAAACTACTTTTACGGATTTTATCGCGTTTATTTTTACTTTTTATTTACTTTTATTTTTAATTCCCGACGTTTCGGGCGCTTTCCACCACCCATGGTCACGGGGGACTGAGATGACTGACGTCCCGATGTCATTGTTAAACCCGGAGTACCTTCAGCTTTTTTAATTATTGTTTATGGTCCGATCTATGCAAAATGAACTGACTATGTCCTGAGGTCTTGCAGTGGTATGCTTGGGTTTAGTTTTAATTTTATTGATTATAGGATCCCAAGCAGGTGGTAGTACCCAGCCTCCTTCTCTATTGAAATTAGGATGTTTTTTAATTTCAATAGCCTCACGTATCATCCTTGGTAGGAATCGGTGTTCTTTCGCGAGGATTTGTGGTCTATCAAATCTGATGTAATGGTTGGGTCCGTCTAGGATATGATCACAAACTACAGACTAAAAAATAAAAGTAAATAAAAAGTAAAAATAAACGCGATAAAATCCGTAAAAGTAGTTTTAATCAAATATGCGCTTTTATTAAAAAAAAAATTTGCCTGTTTGATTGGCCGTTATTCTGGGAATTTTGTATTTCCAGAAAACCGGCTCATTCTACAAGTTCTACAATTTGTGCATTGTACTGTATGGTAGCTTTTCGAGGAGTATATTACATTATATTAAAGAAAGCTGATTTAAAGCATTTAGTTTTTACTATAAATTTTTAGCAGCAAACAAAAAATATTTTTTTTTATAGAATAAGGGTGACAAACGAGCACACAATCCACCTGATGGTAAGTGGTTGCTGCGGCCCATAGACATCTACAACAATCCTCTGAGGACTAATATGGAATGCCTCGAAGTGGATACTGGAAGTAAAAAGAGTATCGGGTTCTCTACACTCATCATACGAAACACAGCTATATTTATTTTTTGTGAGAGCGTGTTTCTTTCACGATCAAGCCGGTCCATTTGTAAAGTGAAGTTACAGCCTATTTACGTCCCACTGCTGGGCACAGGCCTCCACTCATTTCTGAGAGGGTTTTAGGGCAAGGAAGTGTCCGTCGCGGTGCCCCAATGCGTGTTGGCGAACTTCACATGTCTTCGAAATATTTTTTTCCTTATTCCTCAGACATGCAGGTTTCATCACGATGTTTTCCTTCACCGCCGAGCACGTGGTAAATCAGCGCTTAAAATTGCAATTAACAATTTCATCGATGCCGGCGGGGATCGAACTCGGGTTACTCGCGTTCTGTTATATTTCCAGCGAGCGTTAACCATCTGAGCTACCACGGCTCATTCCAGGTCCATTCGTGCTACAACTATAATATAGCTGCAAAATGGCTCTACCAACTGTATCTAGAAATAAAATTACTTGTTCCGAAATCAAAGTTTTCCCATAAATTTTAAATATCAGTGATATCTGATGTGTAACCAGCAAAAATGTTGTTTTGCAAAACATGTAGCAGGTAGTTGACAGATGAGAATAAAGAAGGACCGAGAATAGACCCCTGAGAAACACCAATTTGGTGACAAACTTAGCCCGTCAACAATTTGTATCCCATTCATTCTAACATACTGTTCACGATTGTAAAGTAGTTTTGCCTGAATAATTTGATCAATATTTGTTTTTTTTTCCACAAACCAAAACATTGTAATGCGTCTTTTTTTCTTTTACTCAGCTTTTACGTCTTTAATAATATTGATATGTCAATCAGTAAACCTGAATGTGAGCATAATTGCCTATATACGATGAAATATATCATGAGTCATCCTTTTCAGTGTTGCCCTCTTAATTTTACATTGTCATTGATTCGTCGCTGCGTATTTATGAATTTGACATTGAAATTTGAATTGTATTATTAATTAGAAATCTCATACGTCTTTCCACTCACAAAGAATTTAATTTCAAAGGAAAATGGTGAAAAAATTGTTGATTAACTTATTAGGTAAGTATTTATGTCACCATTACAGATATTTATAAAATAATTTACTATGTTTTGTCTAATCAAGTCTGGAAAAATCATCATACTTAATTTAAAACTAAATTGACTAGTTGTTGTATAATTATGTTGTATAATTATAGTTGTTACGATTCGCCAATTAAGACAGGCAAAGATCTTATACGATACAGCCTAGTCTGATGTGTATTTTATTCACAAAACTATATAATGCTAGTAATTACTTAATATAAGCTTAATTCAACATTATATTGACTTGATGTTATTGTTGCAACTATTTTCTAATTAAGGATGACAAAGTTCTTATACCATACAGCCTAATCTGTTGTGAATTTTGTTCAAACTGGAATATTTTTAATTCCCGACTTTCTGCATTAGTGTGACTTACAAATATTGTTCAGTATTTCAAACATAGAATACTATAATACATATAATGGCTGTCAACCTTATTTTGTACGAGGATCGGCGTCTCCGGGAGCACACATACAAGCAATTACGTTGTATTATTACTACTACAAACCAGCGAATGTGTTGACATGATGAGCAAATTTACACGTTTTAGACTTTTGAGTAATGTTTTTGACACATCAATATTTCTTATTTTTGGTTTCTAATATTCAGAAAATATAAACAGTTTCGACTTACTGGTTGTAGGATGTGTCCTTAATTTAAATACCATTTCCCGCTGTTCTTTCGACACGTAATTATTGCACAATTTGCCATTTTTTTTAATAATTTGCATGTAGCGACGCTTTATACGAAAATTGGAAACTATTGATTGTGTTGACATTTATAGACATGAATTGATATGTTAGTGACATATTAGTGGCTACACGGGCTCCACCCACTCCCTCGTTCTACTATGTATGTATTATAGTATTCTATGATTTCAAATTCTATATTTTGACGTATTTTCGTTTGTAGACGCAAGAAAATAATGTCAACAAAATTTGTTTGGGAGTTCGCAATTGTTCTTTAGTAGTTTGATTAATTTATTTAATAGCAGTAAATTGTGACTAGTAGAGCTTTCTTGATTAAACATTATAATATTACTCAATGCAGCATGTCTGTACATCTTTGTTGTCGATTGAAACTATGACTACGACTCCCGAACACTCGAAGCAATCGAATAGCACATCATAATAACGACATTTTGGCCTTGTGGTAACTAGTAACTCTAAAACGTAGCCAGTTATTTTAACCCATAAACAGGCGAATATGCATCTGTCGTACATAAGCACTCGTCCCAAAATATGATAGTAGATGAACTAAATTAATTTGATTTTTTTGAACTAAATTAAATTGAATTTGATTGAAATTGTTATTTAAAATTCTATGAACCGATTTTCCATATTCTTGGTTGTTAAGGAAAAAATCGTGAAAAACCTGCTTGTCAGACAAGTTAAGAAAAAAAAACCGTCAAGTCAGTCAGCCCGCTGACAGACAGACGAATGGACGAACATCGGTGGCTTAGTAATAGTGACATTCCGTTGATTACCCTTCGGGTTCGGAACCGTAACAAAACATTTTGAGGACATGTGAATATATTTTGCAATAAACCTTTTCAAGGATGAGAATAGGTAGTCGAACAAATACAGGCTGTTATTTATTTGTTTTAATAATAATATGTAGTATATAATACTATATTTTGTAAGTATTTTATATTTAATAGCCCTTTTATTGAGACATTATGATACAAATATTAATATCAGTCATTAAAATTACAGTTATGATTTTGTATATAAAATTATAATTTTGCATTAAACTTCTGTTTCAAATTGCCCCCACATTCCTGTTTGTTAGCCTTTCATTACCGTAGACCACCTTCAATTGTATCCACAAATTCCTGTTACCAGTTTTTATGGTCCACATACTGGCTTACGCTTCTGCTTTAATGTCATCCATCTATCTCCTGAATGTGCTGCCCCCTTTCCTTTTATTATCTTGTATACCAATACCTTATTGTTTTGTTCAATTTGTGTTTGCATATACTGTCTTCTGTGATTTTTCTATGTA